TTTGCAGCCTTGTGGCACTGCAGTGTTGGTTTCAGATTGTTCTGTATCCAAACCCCGATATCTTTCAGTGAAGATTCTACGGGGAGTCTTATATCTTTCAGATGATATATCCTCAGGCTCTCATTTGAATGAGAGTTAGTTGAACGCAGATGGAGGACGGTACACTTCTGCACATTGAAGTCTAGAAGCCATTTCTCCGACCACGCTTGCAGTCGATGAAGATTGTTTTGGAGGGATCTCTGGTCGTTAGGACTCTTAACGACTTACCAGAGCTTAACGTCGTCAGCAAACATTATTTTGCCACAGTCGAGTTCCTGAAGGCTGTCATTTACATAAAGGAGGAAAAGCAATGGTCCCAGATCTGAGCCTTGAGGCACACCACTGGTCACGCTCACCCATTCTGACATGTCATCACCGATGCAAACACGTTGTTTCCGACCAACCAGAAACGCCCCTATCCAGTTCAGAAGATCTTCGCGGATGCCGATGGCGCTCAATTTGTGAAGAAGGCGTTGGTGCGCAACAGTATCGAAGGCTTTGCGAAAATCGATGTACACGACATCAACTTCAAAACCCTCTTCTTGGGTCCTGGTCCAGATCTCCAGACAAGCTAGCAGATTTGAGAGGCAGGAACGTCCTCTCCGGAAGCCGTGCTGGAAATCCTGTAAGATATTATTTTCTTCACAAAATTGCTGCACAGCACTCTTTACTAAAGCTTTCATCGTTTTGCACGAGAGGCAGGTTAAGCTAATAGGCCTGAAAGAGCTTGCTGCCATCCTGCTAGCTCCCTTATGTGAGGGAACGAGGTTAGCTGTCTTCCACTGCGATGGCAGCCTTCCTGTTCTCATTGACAGCTCAAAGAGCGTCGAAAGAGGCTTCACCAGCTCCTTTGATAGCTCCCTAAGTATCACACCAGGAATTCCGTCGGGTCCAGGAGACTTATCTGGTTTTATTTGACTGATGAAGCGTCTTACTTCTTTGACGGAAAAGGCAACGGTTTCAATGACGGCAGTATCTTGGCGTATTTGAAGCTCCCGGATGTTTCGGTCCATTTCAAACTGCTGATCGCCTTCTGAGGACTCCTCCGTAAAAACCGATTGAAAAAACCCCGGCAGTAACTGCACTTTCCGGGGCCCTTCGACTAACAAGTTTTCGAGGCTATCCTTAAGACACGCAATTTCGTCCCTATGTTTTCTCCCACTACGGATGTACTTGTAAAACTTCTTGGGACATGTAATGGATTCTGTTACCAGTCGGCGCTCGAAAGAAGTTCTAGCAATCCGTACTTGTTTGCGGCATTTATTGCGCTGATCCTTATATTCGGCGAATGATACTGGATCTCGAAGTTGCAAATACTTTTTCCACAGCCTCTGTTTCTTCTTCATGGCCTTTTTTGTCGTCGGACTGATCCACGGCGGTCGCCCACATGGTCTGGTTATTTTTAGTGGGCAATAGGAGTCAATTAGACGCTCTATAATCCCGCGAAAGTACTGCCAGAATTCTTCAGAATCTTCGTTGTTAACTAACCAGGTTTCTTCCAAAAGAGCACGTCTCATTACGTTAAAATCACACTTCCAAATATTTCTGCGACTCTTGATTTTTGGTTGTTGGTTCGATAGGAGAGAGCACACGCATTTAAAAGCAATATGATCGCTTAAACCGAGGGGAGGTTGGGGATTAAATTCTCTTATGACTTCTTCTTCTTTACTAAAAACGAGATCTAAACAGTTAGATCGTTGTCCGTCTGTTAGTCTTGTTCCGAATTTTATGTGTTGAATGAGGTGTTTATTCAGGGAGAGTTGTAGTAGCTTGTGGTCAAATGACGTGGACGGGGCGTTTGCTAAGGGAACTTTCTAGTCTATTCCGGGAGCGTTAAAGTCACCCAGAAGTAGTAAGTTCTCCTGCTTACATACCAACTCCAGTACACTAAGTAATTCCACATCGGCGATTTTATTCGAGCTGGGAGGCCGATATACAACACAAAGGTTAGGTGTCGGTAATTGTTTGATGCATATCTTGCATGAAATTATTTCAAAAGTTCTCGGCGCGTCATCGATTATTTTTCGGTGACAGCAAGGAATTTCATTTGACACATAAATCGCTGTGCCTCCTCCTCTTCGTTGAAATCTGTCACAACGGAACAGTTGGTAGCCTTCAATACTGACTTCGCTACTACTTATCTCCTCAGACAACCATGTCTCTGTTAAGACAATTATGTGAGGCTTCTGTTCAGAGACTAGTAATCTGAGTTCATCTTGTTTGTTGAGGAGGCTCTGACAGTTAGTGTAATAGATTTCGAGACAACGACCACTGGTGCCCACAGCCTCAGGAGTTGGCACTTTTGCGTTGGTTAAGCTGTCAGAATGACGGCCTTCGGCCAGAGAAATGTCCTCTTGACCTGAATTATTTGCCCGTTCTTGATCTCCAATAGCTTCAGAAAGCCATGTTTCTGTCAAGGCGATGATATCTGGCTTGTGCTCGTCGATCAGAGTCCTGGGTTCATCCATCTTGTTCAACAGGCTCTGCGCATTCGAGTACAGCACCTTTAGTGTCCGTCTTCTCGGAGGGTGCCGGCCCTGATTACAAATGGGGCTGGCCACAGGAACGATCGCTTGATCTGTATTGTCTTGCCTTCCTTTGGAGTCTTGTCCAGCATATCATGACTTTTAGAGCCAGGGACATCCAACCAGCAGTCAGTGTCAATGGATCAATCAGTGTATTTCCTCATATCTGGCCAGTTGAGTGTTTTTGTGCGAAGTGGAGGACGGGTGCGTTGAGAGTCAGGCTACAACGGGTCGTTTTTAAAGTGGCCTTTATGGCAATTCCACCTGGTGGGATCCGAGCCGGGCGTGGCGACACGCCTAGGGGCAGCTCCAGTCCCGCGGGCCACTTGAGCCCTCAGTTACCTCAGTTCTTCTTGACTGTGACACCGGGCTCAGGTGGGGGCGAAAGAGAGGGGGTGAGGTAGATGCTGTGCAAGTCATTTATCCTTATTAATGAAATCGCACTCAATTCGTCGTGCCCACTCCCAGCCATGTGTGGAGCAGGCGGTGGACATCGGCGGTCACGGTGGTCAGACGTCCGCAGAGCGAAAATGCGACCGAAAGGATCCGAACGCATATTTTACACAAGTCACCTGGTGCTATAAAATTGACTATATCCGCTGTTCTGGGACGAAGGCGCTGGTTTGCTTGTGTTCCGTAAACTACTTATAGCTTTAAAGCTCGTTTAGGTAAAGTGTCATTGGTCCCACTGATAGGTGCCCGTTTGCTGAGACGGGGCGTTACTAATTCAGTAGTATTCTCTGAGCTTTTCGGTCTGTTTTGACAAAAACTGTTATGCTTAATAAGCTACTCGAAGTGAAAGTGAATTTTGCTACCAAAAACTGCCCTGAATATCCCAGTAGACATGTACCCTGGTACTGCATAAATCACAGGATTCCTTAATTGGCTGTTCTTCGCTTTAGACAGCAATTTATTTTCGAAATGTGTCGTCTCCGACGTAAAACTGTCGTCATTTTAGGGATAAGGGTCACAAACTGAACTGGCCGCATGCGCAGTAGAAGATGACGTCCATCACAGTACTGGGACAAAATTTTGATTATCTTCTTACGATGCTGAGTATTCGCCTAGGCGGAGTAATTAGTCCCGCAGGGAGCGCACAGGCGAACATTAATCCCGACGCTGATTCACACTGTCAAGCAATCATCGCGCCAACATCCAACAATCGTGATGAAATCGCAACGATTAACTATGCGAATGTCGGTCATCAAACAGTCATCACACCAAATGCAACGATCCCGGATGAAGGGGGGAGCTGTGAATATTCATAGGTATGCGGTGGCATGGTGACGGCATCCTACAAATACGGCAGTCCCTTGGGCATGAACCATCCGTATCGGCTATTGTCTCTGATGGTGGGTTCGAGCAGGAATCCGAAAAGCCAGGCGAATAAAATCCTTGTCCCTGCGATCGCGCCCACTTCTTCAAGGTCTTATGCTCTCCAAGTGGCTTAAACAACTGGATGTCAAGTGACAAGTTTCGGCTCAAAAAAATTGGAAAAATGCTTCTATTAATAACCTTTGATCATATGTAAGTTCTTGTGATTAACACGTATGCATTTGATTTACACGTTGAGTTGATTAAAGAGAGGAAGGACGAGTGGCACTTCGGTATGGGGTGTAGGAAAACAAAATTGAAGGCACAATTTAGGGACAAAAATAAGAAGCATATTATGATATTTGGAATTGACAACTTATGAGAGGTGTTGCATGTCTAATTTTCGAGCCAATAATAATGAACAAATTAGAGGGGAATTCGACTTAAACTATGCCGTGAAGTTCTTCAGAACTGTGCCATTTACATCATTATAGAAAAAAACGCAATATTATGAATGAACTTCAAAGCTTGCTTTTGAATTTGCGCGAGCCAGGCGACTGTAGGATAAACCGTAGGAAAATATTTGACAGTCTGTATGTACAGTAGGGGGCTTACTCGTAAAATGTCAACAGAAATTCCGAAATGCGTTTTCGTTTCGAAAAGATTAATTAAGTAGGGTTGTAAAACTAGTCGGCCTGCAAAACAATCCCAGCCGGCTTTCGAATGGACTTCCTTCCAGCTGCATACAAAAACTACACCCAGTGAAAAATGACTACTTATGTAGCACAAAATTTTCTCATGGAAAACATGCATAAAGATATTCATTCTTTAGCTCATTCGGTAGATAATTACGTCTTCTTCCAATCCTTTACTCGAAGGAAAGGTATAATTCAGTTTTCAAAAACTTTTCCAATTCCCGAATAATTTTGAAACAGCTCTACCGATAGACTTGGATGCAGGGTTTCGAAACTAAAATCCGTACATTTTCCGCTTAAGGAAAACCACATATTTCTCCGTGATAATAAAGGGGACCACATAGTCTTCATAAAATGTAGCAGTGGATTCGACCCACATTTTAGCTTTACAAGCCGCATTGGTAAAAGCAGTGATATGACAATTTATGAACGGCCATTTCACGGTATTTAAAATTTTCACAATTAGAAACTTTTTTAAACAAAATTATGTCCCTCTTTCGAGTATAAAATTAGAGGCAGTCGTAAATATCTACCAAATGAACAAAAGAATGAGTATTTTCATGCATTTTTTCAATGAAATATAATTGAGCATTCAGAGGCATCGAAAGTCCTTAAGAAAAAATTCCTGCTGCATAAATAGTCCTTTTTTACACAGTGCAGTTTTTGCATGCGGCCGGAAGGAAGTTCATTCGAAAGCCGGCATCCTGAGGTAACTGAAATATTATACAATTATGTTGCAGGCTGACTAGTTTTACAACCTTACTTAATTAGCCATTTCTAAAAGAAAACGCATTTCGGAATTTCGGTTGACATTTCCTGAGTTAGTCTACCTACTGTACATAAGCTTCACAAGTCTCTCTGAGATGTATGCCTCCGTCCATCTGTGTCTTACACGAAAACCGCGGCATTTATACTATCCTAACTGAAGAACTTGGCTTTACGAAAGCCCGCACAACAACGATGATTCAGCCTTCTTATGGCAAGCACACAGCTCGCTCTTCAATTTATTCACATAATTTTCAAAAGGCGCATACGACGCCCGGCTTGTGGAATGGGCTACATCGTAACAACGAGAGGACTTACTGCAGCACACGCTGAATGCCCTTCCCGCTACCCGGGTTTTTGCAGTCAATAAACTGTCCACTCTATCTATTCACCAAAGGGTCACAATAAGACGGTTTTTGAAGACAAATCCTTTTGGACAAGGTGATTTCATACCAACAGCACAGGTACTAGCCAAGAGTCCATACACGCGTGTTTCGCCGATATTCTGCCGCTGCTCGACAAATGCTTTCTGAATCTTCTGTCATTTACAGTAGATTTGCTAACTCATCAAATGTTAACCGAAATTCTGAAATGCGTTTTCATAATAATTCAGTTACTTCAGGATGCCGACTTTCAAACGAACTTCTTTCCGACCGCCTGCAGAAACCACACTCTATAAAAAAAGTTACAACCTATGTAATATGAATGTTCTTT